GGGGGCAGAGGCGCTGGCCGACGGGCTGGGGGGGCGGGACGGACAGGTGGTGAAGGGCGTGCAGGGGTCCCGTCTCTGGGGGCTGGAAAGGAACCAGACCCCCACCCCCAGGCGCTCCCCGCTCCGGCAGGTCAGCGCTGTCCCTGAGGCTGTGCGGACGGTGCGTGGCAGGAATTAATCCCCGGTGAGATGCCGGGAGCGGATGTGCTGAGGGGACCAGGTCAGGGTGTCAGACCAGTGGTTCTCAGCCGGGGGTACGTGCACCCCTGGAGGTACGCAGAGGTCTTCTAGGGAATACATCAACTCACCTACCTATTTGCCTGGTTTTATAATAGGCTACATGAAAAGCACTAGCAAAATCAGGACACATTAAAACTTCATACAAATGATGCCTTGTTTATGCTGTGCTACATACTATATCACTGTTTCTCAACTGGGGTGAGGGGAGGTTGCGATTTATTTTATAATTGGTAAAAATGAGAAAGCAATTTCTCAGTAATAGTGTGGCTGTGACACTTGCTTAAAATATCAGACATAAAAATACAAGTAGTTTTCAAGTGAGGTGAAACTTGGGGTATGCAAGACCAATCAGTCTCCTGAAAGGTGTATAGTAGTCAGACAGTTAAAGGTGTAGCTCATTGGTATTAGAGAGACAAAGTGGGCGAGGTAATAGCTGTTATTGGACCAACTTCTGTTAGTGAGAGAGACCAGCTTTTGAGCTACACAAAGCTTCAGATCTGCTGTGTGTGTCTTGAAAGCTTGTGTCGGTCACCAGCAGAAGTAGGTGTTATTAAGCAGTAAATAAGGTCATCATTTTTAGAACTTCCACATTATGAAATGCCTCATTCTAGAAAAATTACTTTGGCATGAATTTAACCAGTGAAGTTTTAGGTAGTTTGGTTTTGTATTGCCAGAGTTATAGGTGAAGTCAAAATCTGGGTAGAATGGAAGGTTTAAAGTTCTTTTTTACTTTGTAGTGCTTCTTTTAAAACTATCATTGGCTTCTGTGTTTGATTTTTTTTTTAAAGGAGTTATTAGACTTGCTTCAATTCCTAATGGACAGGTGTCTCCATTACGCGTCACAGTCTGTGATAACTGGCTTCTGCACTACATTCACAACAGAAGTACAAAGGAGAGAATGGACCTTAAAACTTGCCAACTCTTTTGCGTTTGAGGTGGCTTTGTCTATTCCCTATCCGCTCAGTATAGGTTTATGGGCATACTGGGCAGGATGTTGTCTGGAAGCATGCACTGCCCTTCCTTTTCTTGAGCTTATTCTGTAGATACATTTTCCAGTTGTGCAGATCAGGACCTTTTCACAAGCAATATATTCATGTGGATTAAAGAAAAAATGCACAAAAACAATCCTCTACACCAGTGGTCCCCAACCTATTTCGTCTGGTGGGCGCCGGACGACAAGCCACCGAGGACCGTGGCCGGCAGACAAGCATCTGCCGACAAGTAGCATCATCAAGAGGCGTTGCAGCCGAAATGCCACTGAAAATCAGCAGCATTTCAGCGGTGACAGCTCTTGATGACCCTGCTTCTCGGCGGCATTTCGGCGGATGCTTGTCCGCCGGCCAGTACGCGGGCGCACATAGATGCCCCAGCGGGCGCCGTGTTTGGGACCACTGCTCTATACTCGACTGGAACCCTGTCCTGCTCCAGAGAACTCAGTGGGAATGATGCCACTCAGAGCCAGTATTTGTTTATATTCCAAAGACTCTCTTACAAGAACTAAGTAAACAGGTAGATAGGATGAGGAGTGTGTGAGATGTGTGTGCCCGCAAAACAGAGCTGGCTGGTTTTATGTTAGGTCTAATCTTCCGTTTTTTTCTTATTTACACTGCAGATATGTTAAAACAGTTCCATGCCATTTTTATGTTGAAGAATAATATAGCATTCTTAATTTTTCTGATCTCTAGCCTCTCCGACTTGATATTAAGCGAAAACTAACAGCTCGGTCTGACCGAGTAAAGAGTGTGGACTTGCACCCCACCGAGCCATGGATGTTAGCTAGCCTGTACAATGGCAGTGTCTGTGTTTGGAATCATGAAACACAGGTAAACTTTTTCTGCTGTATTCTATTTCTAATTAGAAACAGGAGTGTGCTCAGTGTAGCAATATGGTAATTCATTGATATGTGTATCCTGATGATAGTGATATGGGAAGTGCATTTTTCTGCAGCAAATGTATGGAAAGAACTTTTAATAATAATAATATAATAAAATCACTGTTTTTTGTTTAAGAAGGCAAAACAAAAACCTATAATTTGCTGAGTCACCAAGTGTCCTCAAGAAACTCATGGGTTTCATGCCACTTACAGTTGAGTGTCGCCATTAAAGATCAATGTACCGAAGGGCGGTGCATTTTCAAATTGTAGCCTCAGAGACAAATCAGTACCGTGATATAAAGCAGGTAGATTAGGATGTTAACCCAGCACTGAACTTTCTGTTTATATGCTAAATGCCTTGAATATTAAGAGTAGTAGGGATGGGAAGCACACAATTGATCTTAAACTTATTTTTTTCTGTTAAGTCTCCCTGAATTTGAGGCTCATTTGTTTGCAATCTGTGTGATGCCTCAGCATATATTGTTCAGGTGATATCACAAACATTAAGAAACAGTCTAAAGTAAGATATAAAGGTCTATGGCAGGGGTTGGCAACCTACGGCACGCGAGCTGATTTTGAGTGGCACGCTGCCTGCCCGGTGAGAGGAGGAGGAGGAGGGGCGGAGGGGCCGGAAAGCGCCTCGCTGGGGGAAGAAGGGGGAGGAGGGAAGCTTGGCTGCCACAGGATGGAAGTTTGGCTGCCACAGGACCAAGTTTCTGCCTCCTGCCCCTGCAGGGGAGAGCGGGAGGCGGGGGGGGGGTCCCGGCCCCCGCCCCACTCAGTACCCCCACCCA